GAGGTGGAATTATCTGAGTTCCTTGAGTAATATTTGCTTATGTTCAAGCATAGGAAACGTCTTGTCTCCTCCTCAAGACAGTACCTAGCACTCAGAAGCAGGCAGATCAGTCCACACCAACTATGGTTTACCTATGAAGTAATGCTAAATTTCCCAATAAGGTGGACTCTTACAAGCCAGTAAAAGAAGACAGCTTAGATGAATCAGGCCAGATCTGCTGACTGACACTTAGGAATATTTGTAAATTCCATCACCAGCATCTCATCTGTCTTCCCTTCTGCTTTGTTCACCATGGAGCAACCATATCCCATTTATTTGGAAGGGAAAAACCAGGGAAGTGCTAGCAGCTTCATGAACAGTAGAGGACAAAGATTATTATAAAGCTGTACCGAACCATCTATGGATGGGCTTTTGGAAGCATAGTATTCTCCTCAAAATCCCCTGGATATTCATTCATTTCATCAGTTTCGGAGGGCAGACCCAGAAACCCCAACAGGAGAGTTATGTCCCATTCTCGAACAGTAGGAGGTAGTGATCTGTCTAAATCTTTAGTCCCAGCTCAAGCACAAGATCAAGAGCATGCCATTGCCTAACTGCATGAGTGAGCCAAGAACCGCTTGCAATAGTTCCATGGTCACCTTGGTGGCCGTGAAATCCTTAGAAGAAGCACACTTGGCATGGATAGTGAAGTCATCTGGCACTGTCAGCATCAAGAACTTGGTGGAGAACTATACCCTTAGGCAGTTCATAGTCTGTGACAGAGGCAGCTGTAACTGAGACATTGAAAAAAGCACCTCTGTTGGGCACCTGGTCTTCCTGAACACCACAAATTCCAAAACCACTTCATAGGAAGTTCACCAATTCTCACAGTGATTTTACAATGGAGCAGGATGAGAGGTACACAAACAGTAGCCCCTTCTTACCTCTATCCTTAAATTCTACTGCAAGATGGACACTTATATACAGCCCAGATTCCGGATGGAAGATTTCCTATATTTCCAACCAGGTTGCTAAGGGAACAGCCACATTTGCCAGATATGGATCAATCCCCCTTCAGCTGTGCAATGCTAAAAAACCACAGCTGGAGTCTGCTGTGGTGTAGCAAATGGCCCAGGTTTCATTAACATGTATAAAATCAGGGGCCTCATCATTGATCAAATCAGCATCTTATTAAACACCTGATTTGCATTAATCAGCATGAACAAAAAAAACTTAGCATAGGTTTCCTTGTATGCTCAATGAGTGCATGTACACACAGGGGTTTTGGTAGCACCCACAGCCAAAGCATGAGGACACATCACATAAATTACTGGATTTATTCTCACATCCCTAAAGTTAATGGGATGTAGGTACCTAGGTATTTTGGAAAATCCCATGAAGCTGTTATCTGTATCTTTGGATGGCCAAATACTTTTATAAACATAGTCCTTGTTTTCATGAGACTTAGGCTCCTAAGTGCCTATATCACTTCTAAAGAGGATCCTAAATCACTTAGGTGTGTTTTGAAATTTTTTTCTGTAAGTGGTTTCTCCAGTAGCCCACAGAGAGTCTATGCCAAAGCAGGGCTTTGAGCCAAGGTTTCTTAAGTTGTAGGCTAATGTTTTAATCATCATCCAAGCATAAAGGCTAGAATATGACCTTCCTTTTTCCTAATTTTCCAAATTCATACATGTGACAACTTATGAATGTATTACTTAAGAATCATATGGCAAATTCAGTTGTAATTCCTATGGCTTTATGAATGACCTAGGTAAGAACAGAGCTCAGTTTGTAGCACCATAGAAGTCTATTCTGATGCCCAATGAAGTCAAATCTTTCCATTAAGTTCCATTGACTTTTGATTGGAATAGGTACCATTTTTTCTGTCTGGACTGAATTCCACTTTCTCCACCAACCAGCAGGGCTGGACTATTTGTACAACATTTAGCTGAAACAGCTGAAAACTTGTTTTCATCTCATGTCTCCCACATTCTTGTCTTTAAACTTTTTCTTAACAATGCTAAATTTGTGGCAGAGTATACCATGAAATTGGAATAATATCATCTAAGCCCAAGAATGAACATAGTTTATCCATTTCATCTGGGACAGGTGTTTCCTCAGGGGCTGTCTGTAAATCAGATTCTAGCTGGATTTCTTCAGCTGTGCTAGTGTGTTCTAAGTAGGTGGATTGTGCATTGAGCTGGCATTTTTTACATTTCACATTGAGCCCACGATGCCTTAGCATCTGTGTTACCTTCGTATGGTTGTATTATGTCCTTCCTGATTTGCTCTATTTTATGTATGTTTTCCAGAAAGCTTTATTTTGGAAATGCCTTGAAAATCATGTTTACGGGGTGTTGGTTGTAGCCATGTTGGTTTTGAAAATCATGTGTCATTCTTGGAAGCATGGGGCTCCTGAAGCACATTTGAAGGGCATATGGATATTACTGAGAAATTCTACAGCTGTTACAAATGTCATATAACGACTTGTGATTCTCATCCCAAAGGTATCTGATATGTTGGTTAACAAGTCAAATATAGAGAACATTATATACTTTTTCAGGCTGGTTTGCATTCTATTGATTTATTTTTGTTTTTTAACATCTGTGCACATACATACTACTTAGGAGCCACAGTGATGAATCAATAAGTTCAACAGTTGTACTATCACAGAGTCCCCATATTTCCACATGTAAAGGTTTTTTTAGAAGACTATTTTGTACTCTGCTGGGTAGGAGTTTCACTACCCTTTAGTTCTCTATGATGTCTGAATCTGTCTGCGAGTCTCAAAGAGCGTGTGAGAGCCATTCTGTGAATTCATTCAATAGTGTCAGAAGCACTGCAGTCTGTTGTATGTTGGACTGGTCTGTTCTGAATAGGATCAAATATGCATAGAACTTTCTGGTCTTTCTGCCCTAAAGCAGATGTTTTGCAAAAGGAAACAAACTTATCTCACTAGGCTGCAATTTCAAGTGTATTCTTTAAAACAAAGTTGGTCACAGATATTCAGAAGTTTATGAGGATTTTGTGTCTGTCAGTATTTACGGTTCAGTACCACCTACCAACCATACCCAGTTTTCACTTAGGGCCTTGATTGCTGAGTCCCCAGACACTTTGCAATGCAACATACCTTTCAGTTTAGAGGAAACTGGCTTTGTGCTAGATCTGCAAAATTTAGCAAAGTGCTTATTTGTGCTGAATTATATTCCTGCTGTACCCTATAGGAGTTTGGCCACTGGTTTTAGTGGGAGCAACGCTGAGACCATCATTTCCCTCAGGCATTTTCTGCAGGGCATTTTAGAAAGTTAGACATATGGCCAGCATCATTGCACCTGAAGCCAGAATTTATCCTGTGGTTTTTACAGGAGGTCTTTCTCTCTCCCACATCATGGCTGTTTATTGCATTGACACAATGGCTCTGTGGATTGTATAGGAGATAATGACTAAACCTTCCTTGCCTTAAACCTTCAGTAGCTACAGTAAAGTTCTCTGAGCTAAACTTGGCAGAATCTCATTCAGGATTGAATCTTTCTCTATTAGCAGGAAGTCTCTAATTTCAGTATTACTTAAAATTAATTTTTGGTCTCTGCTTTTTAGAATTATTTCAGTCCATGTCATTCCAGCAGCTAGATATCGTACCTGCATGCAGATCTGCTGTGCAGAGGTCCCTGGGTTCAGTGCAGGGGCAGAGGGGGCTGGGGACTGACACTCTGACCTGTTCTACTGCAGGAAGGAAATTCCACCTCCCCACCATGGAACAAGTGCTGAGAAGCATATATTAGGAAAAACTTGAGATTTCCTCTGCTTCGTGCTCTTCTGGCTTTATTGCAGAAAGGACTTACCCAGGCAAACCTAGGCACCATTTTTGTTCTGTTTGTGTACAGCCCCAACCACAATGGGATCCTGTCCTAGGACTGGGGCTCCTAGAAGCTTCCACAACACAAGTCATAGCTAATTAAGTAGCAGTCAGAATCAGGATTGTTAATTTGATTGGGAAGGCCTTAAGAACGCTGGAAATAGACTGAACCATCCCACTCATCCAAAAAGGTGCACTCCTATGGATGGCAAAAAGTATCTGAAAACGTCTTCTCTGTAAATGTGCAGGGAAAACTTGACTGTTTCCAGTCCAAGAGCCAGCCATCATTTTCAGTAGCAGTATATACCATGAATCTAGGGCATAATAATAACAGCACCAACAACATCAATAATCCAAATAATTATAATGGTTATACTAGTTATACGAATAGCAATACTACTATGGCAACTAATAATAATAACATGGTGAGCTGAAATAGCCTTATGGGTTTTAATGTCATGCTGAAGGTCTCTGTTAGTAGCAACACAGACATGTGCAAATAGACAGGTGTGAATGTTCCTGGTCAATGAGGCCTCCTGAACCCTTGTTGCATCTGCAGATTCCTATAGGGTAGATCCATTATACCTTCTTTGCCATCTCTGTCTGCTACTTGGACAGAGAAATGCAGACACTGCCCTGTTAAGGTGCTACTCACATAACTTTTAAGGTGCATAATTGTCACCTCCTGGGTTAACTGTCCTCCTCGGTGCAAGTCTGCCATACTCACAAAGTTGTCAACCCTGGGCATGCCTGGTCCCTGGGAGGAGGGTTTTAAAGCCGGCCGTCTAGTCTTCTACCCATCCTCTGTCCCCCTGTGAGCTGGGCAATACAAGCCATGCCAGGTATGTTTGTGCTCTAGGAAGTTTTGGAACAACACCCCGCACACACGCGCCCCCGCACCGCCCCCACCCCCTTCATCTTTTCATTGAAAACAAAACTGGCCCAAGAGAATCGACTGGTTGATCATTTTTGGATGTGCGCGGGTTCCCTGATTTAGCCCTTTGGAGCTCACAGAAGCATGAAATCCCTCACAGGCTCTCTCCGCAATGGCCCGGCTGAAGGCAAAATGCCACGCAGACACGGTGCACGTTTCAGCCCTTTCGCTGCCTCCTCCCGGCTCTCCCGCAGCTCGAGGGGCTCCTCGGCAGGTAGCCGCGAGTTCGGCGAGGAGGCAAGAGGAATCAATGAGGGGACTCGGGCAGACACCACGTGGTGGGCTATTTTGGAAGAGCATCTTAAAGGGGACGTGCTCCCCAATCTCTTGATCACTCCCTGATGGCGAGACCTAAATAGCGGGATCCAGCAGGACTTCCTCCGGCCCCGCTGCGTCTCCAGCAGGTAAGAGCTGGCTGCCGAGCCCGAGCCCGAGCCCGGGCCTTGGCGCCGATGGCCAGGGGCACGGCGCTTCCCGTGTCTGCCTGGCCCGGGGGCTGAGCTTGGGGCGTGTGTCCGCGGGCTGCGCTCCAGGGGCGCGCGTGGGTGGCTTCGGCAGAAAGCCCCGTGTCTCTCTCCCTTTCCCTTCCCTCTTGGCGCTGTTGCTGCGGGTGCCCCGCCACACAACAGCGGCTGGGTCGCAAGCTCACCCGGCCCGCCATGCGCCCCGGAGCACCCGGGCGGCCCCTCCGGGCGGTCCCCCAGGGCCGCGGCTCTGCCTTGCTCGCAACTTGCTCCGCGCGCGAGCTCTTCCCCGGCGTCGCTTCCCCGCTGCCGAGCCCCGCGTCTGC